GTCGAGTGGTAGAACGACGAAGTGGCCTCACTTGTCAAGTGTTACAACCTGAAGTGGTCCTCATCTGTTTTATAATATATGGGGCATATTTGCCTTGTTAAATGTGGGACAAGTTGGCTTACACACTGATTAGCCAATGCTGACTGTGCCGTATATTTGCCAAAAGGCTGCTTAATATTTTTTTGGAACCTATGATATTTTTTTTCAGGATTCTTTGATGAATAAAAAGTTAAAAATAAGAGCATTTATTAAAATAGAAATATTTTCTTACCAATATACACACCGTTCAAAAGTTTGCGGTCAGTAAATTTTTATTATTTCTTTTTTTGAAAGAAATTAAAACTTTTATTCAGCAAGGATGTGATAAATTGTTAAGAAGTGATAGCAAAGATTTATATTGTTAGAAAAGATTAATTTTTTTTATTCATCAATGAATCCTGAAAAAAGTATCACAGTTTTCAAAAAGTATTTGGCAGCACAACTCTGATAATTCTAATAATAAACCAGCATATTAGAATGATTTCTTAAGGATCATGTGACACTTTATACTGGAATACAACATGCTCACAGATGTTTTTTTTCTCTCTTAGTGATCAAATACCTGCACGACAGATGAAACCTGCTGACTTTCACTTGAGTCTCTTCAAACTGTTTTCTTCTGAGAGAGCTGTACCAACATCAGATGTTCAGCTACACTGATATTCGACACAAATATGGTAAAACAAGCTCTTTGACTACTAATGATGTTTTTTTTTCTTGAATCCATGGAAAGGAGCAACAAACACTTTGGAAATACCAGGTATTGTTTACTTGTTTAAACAGTTGAACAGGATCTGTTTTCAGGAATGACACAAAGTCTGTTCACATCTCTGTGTTTAGATCAGTGTGCGCAATGATGTGTCTTTGACCTTCATTATGTATATTTTGATTATACTGTGTTGTAAATAAAATACAAATAATCAAAACCCCCATTATTTTATTCTCCTCACATACTTTCTTACCTGCCTCACAGTCACAGTCACTCTGATGGGCCATTAGGGCAGGGCCCTTTGTCTTTCAGGTGTGAATCACTAAATATTTATGGGCATTGTCACTCCATCGCATAAGGCCTTTCTAACACAAAACATGATTTGCAAAATTTAAATCAATATATAGTTTTTTTGTGAATGATTGAGCAGGATGATTTTTTGTAGCAAAAACTCTAGTCTACCACATCCAGTTCTCAAAAGTCTTGTGGACAAATGTTCTGTATGTGTTTTATAACCTTATTTCAGTTACTTCAAACTTTTAGTTCCCTTTCAAGGGAACTTCAAACTGCGTCCTCCAGGTGGACCTGGCCGATGAGTTTAAAGAGGGGCTTTCCCTCTCGCGCTCGTCGGCTGTGGACGAGAGTGAGCCGCTCGAGGATGATGTTATTTCTTTAACATTGTCTGATCCAGGGGACAGTACTCTGCTGGGTTCAGCCCAGGAAGAGCAGGTAATGTCTGAGGAGGGCGAAGAAGCTGAGGCTGAGCCTTCCCAATCCTCCTGCCCTGCGTATGATGAGCTTTTGGAAGTTATGGATCGCGCCACGGCGAGGCTTGATTTTCCGTGGAAGCGGGTTAAGGAAGTGATGTCGCGAGGTCGTCTTGATGAGCGTTATCTTTCTGGCCATAGCACTCAAGCTCAAGTGAGCCTTCCTTTTCTTTCTGATCTCCATACAGAGATCGAGAAGGAATGGAATAGGCCGTTTT